TGTTTAAGAAATCTTCCCCTACCATGAGGTCATGATGACATTTTCCTAGATTTTCTCTTTAAAAAGTCACTTTGCATTCACATTTAGATCCATGGTCCACTTTGGATTTATTTTTGTGTGTCATGTGACTTACTGGTCAGTTTTGGTCTCTTCTGCATGGACATCCAGTTCTCGAGGCACCATTTATTGACATGTCTGTCCTTTCCTTCACTGGTTTGTCATAAGTTAAGTGTCAGTTTTTGCATATGTTTCTGGGTTCTCTCGTTTTTGTTTTTCTATTTTTCTATCTTTGCATAAATCTATACAGTCTTAGTTATGGGTTTAATAATGGATAACATTTTACTGTATTTGTCTCACCTCATCCCTTTTTTTGCTGAATAATGTAATTTACAGATATCTTGATATTTCACTACACAGTACTTCACTATCATCTATAAAGTATAGGGAGATTTTCTACATCACTGAAATATTTTCACATCAAAATAAGTTTTGCTTAATTTCGTTTTAATGCACTGTCCATATATAAATATTCCATAAATGTGTTTTATAATTGGATTGTCTTTCTCCTGTGGGATGATGAAATTCCTGGTTCTCTGTATGTCCTATAACTTTGACTTGTAACTTTTTTTTTTAAATATGAAGACTTTGGGTCTTATTTAAATCCTGTTGATGTTAACTTTAAGCAGGCTGTCGATATGCGTAAGTTGAAGCCACAGTTCCAACCTGTCTTCGGTGCATGTGGTTCCAATGACAGCCCAGTTTTCAAAGCCTTCTCAGGTCTCTCTTATTTGTCCCCATATGCACCTCCTAGTGGTGTTGGGCACTGGGTTCCCCTTAGGCAGCGGGTTCCCCTTTGTTTCAGTTCTCACAGCTTTAGGTGTGCTGTTTAGGGTCAGATCCATGCATGCACATCTCAGGGAGGAGCCCAGAATTTCATACACAACTTTATGGGATCATCTTCTTGTGCTCCCTTTTTCACCATGTCCCCTTTCCTTTTTGGCTCCCAGGGCCCCCTCTTTCAGGTCTTCTGGATAGAAAGGCAGGCCTGTAGGTTCCCCTCTGCACTTCCTGCAAGTTTGTCTGCCTCTGCAGCCATGCAGCGAGGGGATGGAGAGGAAAAAAAGGGGGGGGTATTACCTCTCTGCTCTTGGGACCATTGATCTTTCTGCTGAGGGAGGAAGGTTACCCTGCCTTAGAGGTTTAATTGCCTGTATGGCCACAGCTGCTGCAACATGCTTTGGGTTTGGGCAGAAGAGGATGGGAAATGAACAAACAATAAGATTTCTCTAACCAGTATGGACTCCCCTTTCCCATTCCTAAGACCAGAAATAGAGGCTTCTCATGGAGCTCTTTCTCCTCACACCTGCTGCCCAGTTCCTGCTTTCAGGCTGCATTTGAGTTTAGGCCTGGAGAGACTGGAGGGGGGAAAAAAAACCCAAGAAACTCACCACCAGTTCAGTGTTACTTTGTGTTCTGGATTCCTTCTGCAAGCAGCTTGCTACCATTTACTTTTTTTTAAAATAGATTTTTAAAATTTTTAAATTTTATTTATTTGTTGTTGGCTGCATTGAGTCTTCACTGCTGTGCACGGGCTTTCTCTAGTTGTGGCGAGAGGGGGCTACTCTTCAATGCAGTGTGCGGGCTTCTCATTGCAGTGGCTTCTCTTGTTGTGGAGCACGGGCTCTAGGCACGCAGGCTCAGTAGTTTTGGCACCCGGGTTCAGTAGTTGTGGCACATGGGCCCTAGAGTGTGCTGGCTTCAGTAGTTGCAATGCGCGGGCTCAGTAGTTGTGGCACACGGGCTTAGTTGCTTCACGGCATGTGGGATCTTCCCGGACCAGGGCTCAAACTTGTGTCCCTGCATTGGCAGGCAGATTCTTAACCACTGCGCCACCAGGGAAGTTCCCCGTTTACTTTTTAGAGTTCTCAGCTAGCTGCTTTATGCATTCTGTTCATGGTTCTCACTTGTATTCAGTGGGAGAGCCAGGTTGGAGTGTACTTACTCCATCTTTACAGGACTGGAGCCATTCATATTTTATAACTGAAACCAAACCCCAAAGTTACAGCATGTATAAAGATCATACTAATAAAATGAGGGTATGAGGTTCAGTCTAGATTGAGCAAAAGTATAAAGTGTAAGGAGGAAAATGGTGGGAATTAAGGATGGTTAGGGAAAGCACTGGTCAGATCATGCAGGTGTTTTATAGGTCCTATTAATGAACTTAGAGTTCATCCGTAGGCTAATAAGGAGTCATCAAAAGATTTTAGGCAGGCAGGTGAGCATTTTAGTAAGGTCATTCTAGCTGCAGTTTGGAAAACAGATTTATTGGAAGCGAGACTAGGAAACAGCACAGCCATTTAAGAGTTGTTGCCATAACCTAGGCTAGATGTAATCATCACCTGAACCATGGAGGTGTCCAGGAAATGGAAGAAGGTATACAGACGGTAACAACGTAAGGAAGTGGACTCAGAAAGACCTGGTGATTGACTAGATAAAAGACATTAAGAAGATTGAGGAATTGTGGTTGACACCACTCTTTTTGCTGGTATTATTATCTCCGTAAAAAAAAAAGAAGGATGAACAAGTTTGAAGGGGAGGGAAAGATTGTATCAATTTGTGACTTACTGAGTTTTGGGTCTCTGGGATAGTCGAGTATATAAATTCAGTAAGCAACTGAGTATCATATTCTGGTGCTTAAGAGAGATATCACAGTGCTTCTCAAAGTGTAGTCTTTTGGATCATTTTAAAATACATATCCCCAGGCCCCACTCCGGAAATTCTAAGTTATTAGGTTTGGGGTGGGACTCAAGAATTTACATTTTAACAAGCTCCCAGGTGATGCTGAGCTAAAGTAGGATTTAGGAGTTATCCGTACAGCTTCTTAAGATTTTGAATTATTTTTGTAAAATCCCTGTACACCTGTTGTTGAATTTATTCTTAAGCAACTTTCTTCAGTTTCTTTTCTAAGAAGTTATATTGTTTTTCTATAGGGATGCTAGTGAATTTGTATATTTATATCTCTCAGTCTTTACTGTAGCAATTAAAATACTCTAAACCTTCCCTGCAAATACTGTAATGATTTTTTTTAATTAATAAACTTTCTTTCAAGCAGTTTTGGGTTCACAGCAAAATTGAATGGAAAGTACAGAGTTCCTATATATCCCCCTGCCCAGTCTTCCCCACTGTCAACATCCTACACCACAGTGGTACATTTTTCACAATTGATGAACCTACCTTGACACATCATTATCACCCAAAGTCCATAGTTGACCTTAAGTTTCATTCTTAGTGTCGTACACTCTATGGGTTTTGACAAATGTGCAATGACATGTATCCATATGTTAGTATGATACAGGATAGTTTTACTGCCCTAAAAATTCTCTGTGCTCTGCCTATTCATCCCCCTCTCCCCACTAACCCCTGGTAACCACTGATCTTTTTACTGTTTCCATAGTTTTTCCTTTTCCAGAATGTCATATAGTTGAATTCATAGGATATTTACCTTTTTCAGATTGGCTTCTTTCACTTCATATTATGCATTTGAGGCTCATTCCTTTATATCTTTTCATGGCTTGATAACTCTTTTTTTTTTTTAGTGCTGAGTAATGGCCCATGGTCTGGATGTACCACAGTTTACTTTTCCATTCTCCTACTGAAGGACATCTTGTTGCTTCTAAGTTTTGGCAGTTATGAATAAAGCTGCTATAAACTTCCACATTCAGGTTTTTGTGTGGATGTAAGTTTTAATTCACTTGGGTAAATATCAAGGAATGTGATTGCTGAATTGTATGGTAAGAGGATGTTCAGTTTTATAAGAAACTGACACACTGTCTTCCAAAGAGGCTGCACCATTCTGCGTCCCCACCAGCAGTGATGAGAGTTCCTGTTGCTCCACATCCTCACCAGCATATGTTGTCAGTGAATTGGAGTTTGGCCATTTTGATAGGTGTGAAGTGGTGTCTTATTTTAATTTACAGTTCCCTAATGACATGATGTTGAATGCCTTTTCATATTCTTACTTGGATCTGTATATCTTCTTTGGTGAGGTTTCTGTTCATGTCTTTTGCCTGTTTTTATTGTTGAGTTTTAACAGTTCTTTGTATATTTTGGGTAATAACTTGTCAGATGTGTATTTTGCAACTATTTTCTCTCAGTCTTCTTATCCTGTCTTCTCATTCTTTTGACATTGGCTTTTTAAAAAAAACTTAATTAATTAATGAATTTTATTTATTTTTGGCTGTGTTGGGCCTTTGTTGCTGCGCGTGAGCTTTCTCTAGTTGTGGCGAGCAGGGGCTACTCTTCGTTGCGCTATGTGGGCCTCTCGCCGCGGCGGCCTCTCCTGTTGCGGAGCACGGGCTCCAGGCACTCAGGCTTCAGTAGTTGTGGTGCACAGGCTTAGTTGCTCCACGGCATGTGGGGATCTTCCCTGACCAGGGCTTGAACCCATGTGCCCTGCATTGGCAGGCGGATTCTCAACTACTGCGCCACCAGGGAAGCCCTTGACATTGGCTTTTGCAGAGCAGAGGTTTTTAATTTTAATGAAGTCCAGCTTATCAATTATTTCTTTCATGGATTGTGCCTTTGGTGTTATACCCAAAAAGTCATCACTCCCTAACATCATCTAGGTTTTCTCCTTTGTTATCTTCTAGGAGTTTTATAGTTTTGTGTTATACATTTTTGTCTGTGATCCATTTTGAGTTAATTTTTGTTAAGAGTGTAAATCTGTATCTAGATTCACTTTTACACATGTGGATATCTAGTTGTTCTAGTACCATTTGTTGAGAAGACTGTATTTGCTCCCTTGTGATGTCCTTGCTCCTTTGTCAAAGATGAGTTGACTATAATTATGCAGGTCTATTCTGAGCTCTGTACTCTGTTCCACTGATCTACTTGTCCAGTCTTTCACCAGTGCTGCACTGTCTTGATTACTGTAGTGCTACAGAAGTCTTGAAGTCAAGTGTCAGTCCTCTGACTGTTCTTCTCCTTCAGTGCTGTGTTAGGTATTCTAGGTCATTTTCTGTTTTGTATAAAATTTAGAATCAGTTTGTTGGAGATCTGTGAAATAACTTGCCGGGATTTTGATTGGGATTTTGTTGAATCTATATACCAAGTTGGAAATAATTTTAAACTTCTAGAAAAGTTGCAAGAATAGTGTGAAAATACCCATATGCCCTTTACTCACATTCACCCATGGCTAATATTTTGCCCTGTTTGTTTTGTCATTTGGTATATGATTTTTTTTCCTGAAACATTTGGGAATAAATTGTATACATCATAGCCTTTAACTCCACATATTTCCTAAGAATAAAGATATGTTTTTTTTAAACTTCTATATTATTATAAAACTGTTCTCCCAAAATGATAAAATCCTTTACTAAAATTTAGCCTGGAGAAAATCCTGTGTTTATCTGTCAAAAGCATCTGATGGAAAGACACTGTTATCCCTAAATTGAGCTTCATATGTCTGTTTAGAAGGTAGAGGTAGAGTGAGGATGCTAGAAGATATTTAGAGAAACCTTTTTATTCAGTCATTCAGAATAAGTTACTGTAAGATGTTCCAAAGGCAGTAAGTGAACACAATCTCATTTCTTTGTGGGACCTGAGGAACGCTTGTAGTCTATTAGAATCATTATGAAATTGTCATTTTCAAGTCATTCTGGCAGCAAATAAAGTTTACCTGGAGGTGAGGAAGATTAACCACCTATCCTTTACAATTACTTAGCTTTCTGATAGTTCTGTTTTTCCCTCACCTTCAGTTTCTTATTTTTAATCTTCTCCTTATTCACCTACAGCTCTCCTCTGTTTGATGTCTTCTGAATTTCTGGATCTACTGCTCAGATTTCAGAGTCATATATGATAACTGTAAAAGCAATGCAATGCTAAGATTTTTTTTTTCAATGTAATTCTCATTAAAAAACGGAGGAGTGGCTTTTATTTTACTCAACACAGAAAATAAGAAACATTTGCTTTGTTTTTTCAGCTTCAGAGTCAAATGGTGAGATCAAAGAGTTTTCTCCAAAAAATGTCATATACGAAGATGATTCATCCCAGTATTTGATAAGATCTTCAAATCTTTCATTTGAAAGATTTCTAAGCCAAGGCCTTGAGTATTCCAATTTTAAAGAAGGCTGGAAATGTGAGGGTGATACTGAGATGCTGCAGGGAAATCAGGGATATATCAGGCAAGTGACAGTTTCCCATCAAGAAGCCCTGTCTCAACATATGAATGTTAGTACTGTGGAGAGACCCTATGGATGCCATGAATGTGGAAAAACTTTCAGTCGGCGCTTTTCCCTTGTGTTACATCAGAGAACTCATACTGGAGAGAAACCATACGTATGTAAGGAATGTGGGAAAACCTTTAGCCAGATCTCAAACCTCGTAAAACATCAGATGATACATACGGGAAAGAAACCCCATGAATGTAAAGACTGTAATAAAACATTCAGTTACCTTTCATTCCTCATTGAACATCAGAGAACACATACTGGGGAGAAACCCTATGAATGTACCGAATGTGGAAAGGCCTTTAGCCGTGCCTCAAACCTCACTCGACATCAGAGAATTCACATAGGAAAGAAACAGTATGTATGTAGGAGATGTGGGAAGGCCTTTAGCAGTGGCTCTGAACTCATTCGCCATCAGATTACACACACTGGAGAGAAACCTTATGAATGCATTGAGTGTGGGAAGGCATTTCGCCGTTCTTCACACCTTACCCGGCATCAGAGTGTCCATACCTCCAAAACCCCCTATGAATGTAACGAATGCAGTAAAGCCTTCCGTTGCCACTCATTCCTTATTAAACATCAGAGAATTCATGCTGGAGAAAAGCTCTATGAATGTGATGAATGTGGTAAAGTTTTCACATGGCATGCATCCCTTGCACAACATATGAAAATTCACACTGGAGAAAAGCCCTATGCATGTACTGAATGTGACAAAACCTTTAGTCGGAGCTTTTCCCTCATTCTACATCAGATAACTCATACTGGAGAGAAGCCCTATGTATGTAAGGTATGCAATAAATCCTTCAGCTGGAGCTCAAACCTTACTAAACATCAGAGAACACACACTCTAGAGAACCCCTATGAATATGAAAATTCATTTAACTACCACTCATTCCTTGCTGAACACCAGGGAATTCACACTGTAGAGAAAACCTAAGAATGTATGGATTAAAAAAAAGCAGCTAATGCCTTACTTTGACTTCAGAGAACTCTTGGAAAGAAGCCTTATGTGAATGTGCTTATTGTGATGAAATGTGGTCTCTGCTTTATTCAGTATTCTGGAGAAAAACCCAAGGAATGTATGGGAAAGCCATTAATAGCTGCTCATTCTTTTTGTAATGCCAGAAGACGAAATCAAACAATACTGAGAAGACTCTTCATCTGGTAGGATTCCCTTAATCTACATTTGTAAATTCCTACCAGGAAAGGATACATGTCCAATAAATGTGAGAAAACTCTTAGAGATTAGGTCTCATTCTGCATCTGTCAGCTCAGGACAGGACAGAACACATGGGTAAGGGTGTACTTTTTCCTGGACATCAGAAAATTCATAATGAAGGAAAGTCATACAAACAATGATTTGGGAATGTCTTCATGTACCATGCAATATTTATTAAATTCTTAAATAGTCTTCTAAGGAGAAAAAGCAACCGTATAAATGAACTTAACATAGGGTGACTTTCTGCAGTATTTCAAACCTACAGAATTATCCTGGGGAAAAACCACCATTGTAATGAGCGTGGCAAAGTCATAAGAGTTCTGAGAAGTTATACTGGAGAGAATTGGTGTGGGAGGATTTTTTACAGGGGGATGTTTGTTTGGGTTTTGTTTTTTTGTTTCAAAGCAAATTCAGAATAGCTACAAATAAATCTTGATTCATAGTAAATGTAGTATTGGCTGAATTTTTTTCCTACAGCATGTGTGATTCTGAATATGCAACTATCACAATACTGACATCAACAATGAGAAGTAGCATGCTTTTTTAAAAACATACAGACATTATAGAAACATCTTTAGATAAATTATGGTTTTAATTTTGAGACAGAGTTTGGACTTAAGATTATGCTAACTCATGTTTACCCTTGAATCTGACTAGATGTCTTACTCTGAAATAAATGTAAATAAGGTACATCACAGGAAAATGTCAAGGTTGTTTTCCTCTTTTATTCCATTTTCAGTAAGAACATTTCTTCTGTAAGCACATATTTGTCCAAATAGATTGTTTTCATCTCCACATACACCTGCCCAAACTTTATTTTCCCATTGTAAAGGTTATCTTACCTTTAAAGCATCTGATTGCCTTCTTTCAAGAACTTCTCTTGCATTTAGTACATGAAATATGTAATTTAGAACTTGAATGAGTGCCTCATTTAAGCATATTTTTTCACGCATATATAATTGTTCTTTTACAAAGTGAGAGGCTGGCATATTTCTTTTCCATTCAATGTAACAACAAAACACACAGCTGTTGCCTAATACTTTTCTAGAACCATTCAAAGCCTCAAACTATCAGAACAATTCCACTGTATAAATCCCCTCTTTCCTATAGTGGTGGCCAGTATTATTAATATCCCTCACACCCTGTGGTGGTCTTTGGTGAACAAGAATGTATTTGTCATCTCAGAGGTGTGTAACATTCAGAGGTGTGGCCATAGACTTCTCCCAGGAGGAATGGGACTGATTAGACCCTGCCCCCAGTTTTTTATATAGGAATGTAATGATGGAGAAATATGGGACTCTGGCCTAAGGAGTTTACCAATCCTCCAAATTCAGAATCTGAATTTAGGTATCTGCCTTCTCCATAGGAAGTATCGGGGTGGGCTGTAAGTTGCCTGGCTGAGTTTGCACTCCATGTTCTTGAGGGAATGTTTTAAAATTGGCCCAAGTAGGAAATGGCATGCATTCTTCTGTTTTTGTTCTTGTAATAGCATCTCTTCCCTGGGGTCTGGGAAAACCATAATATTTTGAATTATCTATTTTCTCCTAGTTAGCAGGACTTTTATTTCGAAAGCAAATGTGACCTCCTTAATGGAGCAAGGGAGAGTGAAGAATGATGGAGAAAATAGTGGGAAGAGGCCTATGATCAGGTGAGTGAGGGGCACTCAAGGAAAGGGAGTGCCTTTGTAGGTAGCTCACCAAATATGTTGCTTGAATCATTTTTATCAAAAATAAGAAATTTCCCCTAAAATTCATGCAACATCATTCTGAACTATGTAACTCACCCAAAAAGTCCTCTTGTTCATTTGTAGTAAAATATTTCACAAAATAACTATGCTATTATTTTTAATTTAATTGAAATACAGATAATGTGTTAAATACACTAAATCAAAATACAGTTAATTCCTAGGCTATACAGTAAAAGATATGTCAAAACACTGTTGCCACTGAAAAAAAAGTGAATAGTTTGTGGATATTTTCATTTATACAGTATGCTTGCTTTGTCATAGCAGGTCAGTGCTGGCAAGGTTCATAGTTGCTTTCAGTCAATTTCAGCACACAAGTCTGTGTTATATCTTTCCGTATTTAACATTTATAAGCTGTGGCACTTTTCAGAGGTAGCAGAAGACCAAAAGAAAAGCTTCCTGTTTTTCAAGATGAAATTCAGTAGCAATAGCCAGCCAGACACATTAAGGTATAAAAGCAAACAGTGGGAATAAAGCATATGATGTACTTTAAATTACTTGTATAATACATTATTTCATTTCCAACTTGTTTGACAAAGAGGTAATGGTGATACATAGTGTGACCATCTCAGTACATGTGAAGGGCTAAACATCCAATTTGAACATTTTGATCTAGGAGTTTATAATATAATAAACTTATAATAAACATAAGGAGTTTGTATTACAGACACAATTGTCTTAGGTTTGCATATTCAAGTTGTGAAAAGTTTGCGTGAAACATAGGAAGGAAACCATGATAGCTCTGAAGCAGTTATAATATTTTTATTACTCTGTTGTCATGATTATCTAATTATCCATACTAAAACAGAGAAGGGAGAAGGGAGAAAAGATGAGTGTAAGACAGACATTTAGGACAAACTCAAAAGTTCTAATGCGTGTAGTTAGTCTTTTAAGAAGAGGATAACAGAAGAAATATTTGAGGAGTTAGTGAAGAACCTTGCAAAGAGATGCAAGATATCAGCCCTCAGGTTCAGGAAGCTTAGCAAGTTCCAAGCAGGGTAAAGAGGGACATCACCACAACTATGCACATTGTAACAAAAGATAAAGCCTGGTTATCAGAAGCTGGTACAGAGTAGGGGAGAGACTACTTTCACAGCAGCAACAGGAAGACTGCAAGTTTCCATCTCAAATGAAAGGATGGAAGAAGATAATGAAACAACACTTTTAAAGTGCTGACAAGGAAAAAAAATATTCGACCAATCTGGATTTCTATACCAAGCTAAAAGTCCTTTAGAGATAAAGCAGAAATAAAGATGTTTCAGATAAACAAAAGTGGAGGGAACTTGTGTAGCATGCCTGTGCTAAAAGAAACATTAAAGATGAGTTCTTCAGGCAGTATGAACTGGTCCTAGATGGAAACCTTGCAGTGCAGAAGGCAGTAAAGAACACAAGGGGTAAATATAAGCCAAGTATTGGGAAACTAAGGCCCATGGGCTATATCAGGGCCTGTAAGCTAAGAAAGGTTTTCACATTTTAAATGGCTGTTAAAAAGATGACTCCGCAAGAAATATAAATGAATATTGTCAACACAACAATTATAATATCAGGTGGAGTTTAAAATATACATGAAACTAAAGAAGCATGACAGTAACACTTGATAGGAGGGCATGAATGGAGTTGAGTGTAAGATTCTAGTAGCATCAGTGAAAGTACTCATTCTCATTTGGTTCTCTCGATCTAGGGGCCGACTAAGTAGGTGTATTCTATTTGGGGAAATTCATTAAGCTGTACACATTTCTCTATGTATTATGCTTCAATAAAGTTTTTACAAGTTTCCCAAAAGATTATTACACTTCAACATTAAAACAAGAAGTTACTATAAATGCAGAAGGATAAGGAGATGGAGCAACAGTTACATTCAGTACTAGTGATGTAAATATTAGTTGTTTTAAGAAAAATCAGAATTCTATATTTTCTTAGAAAGCAACAACCGGTGCTTCAGGGGATTTAAAATAAGATACCCACATAGAGTTCAGGCTGGGTCAAGTTTTGTTACTGAGAAATGACCCCAAAGAATTTTCTATTGAATATTATACAATGCGTCTCAGGACAGGAAACTGTGTTAAATCCTTCTGAAGAGATTGAAGAAATTTCAAAGCAGAGAGGCAGCAAACCTTGCAGATTGAGTGTAAATGACTTGGAAGAAAGAGGTAACGCTTTCAAAAAATCTGCCTTTAAAGGCTGGGAGAGAGAAAAGGTAGTAAAGAAAAGGGTAAACAAATTAGTTATCTGATATTTTAAAAATTTTTTTAAGAAATGAATTTTAAGAAAAGTATTTAAGTTTTAAGAAATTCTGCATCACCAATACTCTCAATATCACAGAGAACAATATTATGTAGAAAAATGGAAATTGATCAGAAAATAGAAATTTCAGATTCAATGTGAAACTTTGCTGATGGGTGAAAAATATAATTTTATCTGTTTGCTATGCCTTAAATTACAGGTGAGTTTATGTCGTGACATTTATTAAATCTGTGAATTTCCTGTTCATGTTAAGTAAATATCTCATTTTATTTGTTGTCTTAAAAGAACTCTGTATGCTAAGGAAATGACAGTTTTCTGTAATCCAAATTTCATACATGAACTGCTACAGTAGCCTCCTAAACTGGTCTCCCAAGATTTTTCTATACAATAGTGTAATTTTCAAAAGATAATCTCTTACGAAAGATTCTTAAAGAGCTGATGGCTCTTCAAATAAAATATAAACTCGTGCCGGAGCTAGTAAGGTGTTTTCTAAATCCGGCCTACTCTCCAGCCTGGTTTCATATATGCTTCTCTTTACCACCTTGCCTGCCCACGTTCCAGCCACTGGCCTAGGACTTTTTTTTTAAACAAACATGTCAAGATCTCAATGAGGACTTTTGTTCTTGCTGTTGTACTTATAAAGCTCTGTGTCCCTCCACCTCTCCAATCCTCTGTGGATGACTCCTTTCCTTCAGATTTCAGCTTGAATGTCACCTTCTCATGGAGGCCCTTCCTGACTACCTTATCAAACATATGTTCCTCTAATCACAGCACCTTATTTGTTTCCCTCATATTTTGAATTTTGCCTAGAGGTCAATTTAGATGAAGTCTAAAAAGAGCCCAGGCCCTTTAGCAACATTTTCAAAAAGTGCCTTTAAAAAGCTGTAGATAGAAAAGTTGGCTTAAGAAGTGTAAAAAAAAAAAG